TGGTGCAGGGGGCTGGACCTGATGATCTTCTGAGGTCCCTCGCAGCCTTACAATCTATGAGGTCCAAGGGGCTCTGCCCAGGCAGTCTCTGCTGTTGGAAAAATCAGATTTTATTTCTATTCTCTCCTATGATTCCTGCAGAAACTTCTATTGCTTCTTTCTAGAAAAGGGAATCCCTTCTTCCAAAGGGAGACTCTCACAGATAGCGTTTTTGAAAAGGCAACCAGCTGAGGGAAAGTATCTACATTTGGAACTGTATGAAAAATACATAAACAGAAGTAGTATACATTAGTTAGCAGCTGAAAGTACTTATACTTCAGGCAAAGAATAATGAAGGGAGGACTGGAATCCCATAAGTAGCTATCGCCTAGAACACAAAATTACCATTTGATGACTAATCCTGAGACTTGTTGAATCTTGCTTTTTGTACTACTGCTTGACAGTAGCAGGTATAGAAAGTGGTACATTATTTTTGGGGCTGTACCCCTGGGTGTTGTCAGGGAGTCTGTTGTTGGAGGTGATGCAAGTAGGAAAACTTCCTCAGAGTTCAGGAGGAAGATGTCTTTTTGGCGCCTAATGTTCTTATGCCGTGGATACCACGATGGCATTTGCTAAAAGGTGTTGCAACAGTAATATGTCTTTCAGCTGATGCAGGAATCACTTTATAGGCTGTTTTGGATACACATGGGGAATAGAGAAGAAGACTACTTTGCCTGATTTGAGATGGCTGGAGCCAATACGGCCAGCTTCTCAAATACAGCTGATACAGGCTACTGACGCAAACAATAAGTGTTCAACATCAAAATCCCCTTTTGCAGCTGGACAGTATTTGCCAGTCTTCCTCAAAGTTTCTGAAACTGGTCTTAGTAAAAGAAATAGCACCCCTCTGATTTTCTGGCAAGGTGCCACTTTTATGTTCCTAGGAAGGGGCATTACACTTCCCTTTCTTTCCTTGAAAGAAATTTCATCTTGATTCTTCAAATAAGATTGGCCTACAGGCATGAAAGGATTTGGTGCAAGCAACACTGGCATCAATATTGCTAGAGTTAATCTTATTGCCTCAAGCAGGTTTCACAAAATCCCATATGCACAACTACATGAGGAGGCAAGACAGAGTCTCAGCCTTGAGTTAGGATCTTCCAAGTTAATCACTGAAGACGTCAAAAGGTACTGCAAACTGTTCAAGATCAAGACTGGAAAGTAGAGACATCAGATAAAAAGGCATGATGGAGGACGGCTAACAGTCTTGAAGGTGGATCCCCACTTGAGCATGCTGCAATTTGAAATTACAAGGAGTTCACGTGAGCTGGTGCTGAGATGTCTGACTCTGGAGAAGTGTGGAAAATAAGCAAGAATGGAGTCTTTGAGCCCTAGTGAGTAAGAGTATGAAGGGAGAGAGACGTGGCACTTTCCTTAGCTTATGCTTCCCCTTGTAAAGAGATGTGCTTCTCCTTTCTTCTGACTCCAAGAAGAGCTGCAATACTGACACAGAACCACTGGAGGGCAGATTTGGAGTCAATGCAAAGAACAATGGTGCTAGAACAGGGACTTTCTGGATCAACATCAAGACCTGAACAGGCAATTCTGTTTTTAAATTTAGTTGGCACTGGCAGTGCCAGGCAATGGATCTGCTCCCACAGTATAAAGCAGAAGACTTTAAGGTATTTAACCCATGGTGGAAGTCTGTGCCAAGACTAAAGCAGCAAAAATGCATCCCAAGTTCTATGTAAAAAGACCTCAATAAGCACTGCAGTATCAAGAGGTAGGCATTGAGAAGTCAGAAAAGCCTGAAGCCTTAGAAAAGCAAAGAAGTAAAGTCAAACCATTTACTGGGTTAGAATGGGTCTCACTTGAGCATAAAAACAACAAAATTTGAGCTCTGGACTACAGTCAAATCACCAGGCAAGACACCTATTGAAGCCTTTTACAGACTGGGGCCTGACATGGCCCAATGGTGGGCCATCAGCTCCTGTAACACCAGAAGGCTGTCTATACTTACTGTCCTGGGATACACCTCTAGGTATTTCAACGAAAGTCAGAAGCCAGACCAAATCAAAAGTCTAACCTGAGAGCATGCGGACAACATCAATCTGCTGTCAGTGATAGTGAAGGAACTAAACTACTTTACACATGGTAAAACATAATGATCACCTTTTGTGCTAGACCCCTTCACACTCAGCAACTGGAATCTGCTATCTGAGGTACTTCTATAGCTCTATACCAGTAGCAACATATAAAACCTTAAACAATTGTTGTACTACAATTCCTTTTTAGTACTATTGTCACTGAAAAACCCAGACCTAGTTTCTCTAATTAAGACATTAACCAATACTATATTCACCGAGACTCAGCATGATGTATGCCAACCAGTGCACATTTCTAGTATTTTTTTTCTCCTTCCCATTGCTCATTTGTTAAAAGTTCTTTGCCCTGTATCCATGCAGCCCTACTGACCACCTCTTCCTTTATATATGAGCTCAATGTTCCTCTGCCTGACATCACACAGCTTTCCTCCTTTATAGTTTATACCTTTAGGTAAAAGCCTAATATTTTTTACTTAGCTGAACAGCACTTCTACTTTTTCCATATAACTGGATAGTATGATCTCTTACAACCCATTTGCCTCTTTAATATCACTAATGCTCTCCAACTTAATCCTTCTGACATACTTAAAGAGAATTTCCTGATATTAGTGATATGACTAACAGCTCTTCATACACCACCCAAGCTCTTCAAAATTTCCATACTGAATTTAGCCTGCTTCTAGTTAATATTTTTTCTTATTTATTTCAATAGGGCAAGACTGCCAAATTTCAGAAGAATAACTATTTAGGTTAAAGAATTCACTTAAAAAGAAAGTAAGGTTTAACATCTTGGTTTATCTCCTATACTTTTGGGTATGCACTTCTGTAAGTATATGCGTAAAGATAGTGATAATGAAGCAGTTATTCTGAGGGTAGGAGAACTTCAAAATTTCTTGGCAGTAGGAAACACTGACACTATCATTTTGCCAGTACTAGACTCAGTCAAACAGCCTTTGAAATGTCACTGTCCAAGGTGAGTAAAGTAGGACAAAATAAACAAGTGACATTAATAAACAGTCATTTGTTTAAAAACTGCAGTTTTAATAATTTATGGGGCAATAACAAGGGAAAATTAAATATGCACTGTAAATTGACAGTACCTTTGATCTTCTGATGCACCATGATGCCTGCAAATAACTATAAAAATTAACATAATAGTTTGTTGGAGGCATTTGTTTAGAATTATACCACTTATACAATAGATAGCACAAAATATTTTCCCGACATCTTCCTTAGAAATAAGATCTGTTGCATGTTCTGTTATGGCTTAATGAGATTTACTCACAGCTTCAGAATTATCAATGAAAGGGTCTGTTTCATCATAGCCATAGCCTATATCGATCAGATCCTGCAGGCGATCCTTCCGATGCTTGTGAGACTTCCCACCCTGCAAAGAAAACAATAGTGTTAAGCTGATTTGAGAATCACATTGTGCAAGTGACAAATTCTATTAAACAGAACAAACATTCTAAATGGGTGGACCACTCAGGAGTCAGGTAGTGAGACGGAGGCTTTCACTTTGTGGATACTCACTTGAAGCTCTCCTAGACAAATAAAAAAAACAAACTTAAAATATTAGTACCAAACAGCTATATTTTGACTAGCACAAAATGAGTTCATAATATGGTACTATTCTGTACAGTACAGCAATATCCACACCAGAAATAAACAGACTGCATTTGTTAGCACCTTTGTTTCCGGTCTCCACAGTGACCCAGAACCAGATGGACCACAGGAAATCTCTTCTGTCATTTGGAAGGGATTCCTCTAGCTCAGATTTCAGATTTCTTTTAATATGGAATAAAAAGCGATAATGGGGGTTTGGGGACTGGAAAGATTTGGGGAAGTCTTCCCCAACTCGTACTTTACTCGACTACTCTAGAAGTCGAGAGCAAAACAATTTCCAAGTTAACTCGCACCAAATATTTAAAATTTCCTTCTTTCTTGCAAATAGCTAAAGACAGAAGAACTAAATGTGTAGAATACCTATATACCCCCGACCAACATATGACAAGTTCTAGAAAGACTGTGTTTGTTCAACTAACAGAAAAACTAGTTTTAACAGTTAAAACAGAAGAAGGACCAAGTCAATTATAAACCAGTCAGTCTAATTTTAATAGCGAGAAAGATTCTAAAATCAATTAGTAAGCATCTAGAAGGTAGCTAGGCAGTAAGAAACAATCAGCATGGATTTGTCAAAAACAAATTACATCAAAACAAACTAATTTCCTTCTTTGACAGGATAACCAGTCTAGAGCAGTAAGGACACAACAGATGTGATCCATCTCGACTTCAGTAACATTTTTGACATGACATCCTCATAAGCAGATTAGGAAAATACAGTCTAAAGGAAATTACTAAGGTAGATACACAACTGATTGAGAAACCATGGAGCAAATATCAGCTATCTGCTGTTGACCTGGGAAGTCATAGCAAGTGAGGGTCCATAAAACCCTGATCTGGTACCATTTAGAGTTTTCATTAAAGATTTGGATGATGGAAGAGATGCTACTTAAAAATCTGCAAGTGATATCATGCTGAGGGGGGCTGCATACACTCTGAAGGACAAAATTCAAAGTGTTCTTGGTAGATTTGAAAAAAAAAAAAAAAGAGAGATTGAAACCTACAAGTTATTCTGAATATAGACATGTGCAAGCCACCAGCCCTTAGGAAAAAAAATCATATCTATAAATACAAAAAATGGAGAACAAGTGGCTATACTGTTGCTTAACAAGAAAGAATCTGGAGATTACACTGTATATGTGGATACATGTTAATTGCATGATGCCTATTTTTGCAATAGAAAGTGTTATTCCTGTTAATGTCCCAGAATATCATGTGCAAGATAAGACGTACTTGTTCTCTTCCATTTGGTATCGGCAAGTCCTCATCTGGAGTACTGTATCCAGCTTTTGGTACTTTGCTTTAAGAAACAGGTAGACAAAGTGGAGATCCAGAAAAGAGAAACAAGAGTAAAGGGCTTAAAAACATGGTCTCTGATGAAAGACTGAAGGATCTGGGTCTGTTTACAGACAAAAAGATGAGACAGGGAAGAAGCAAGATAGCTACCTTCAAACACAGAAGTAATTTTTATGAAAAGGAGACTGACTGACTGTTCTATATGTTCTTTCGGGACAAATGTTTTAATCACTATATAAGGTGGCAAAACACTACCTCCACCTTTAGCTATACCTTGGAAAGAGTAAACCCTGATTAGTCAGGCATCTATACCAATGATGCTGGCCTCTGGTCAGAAGGGCCATGTGCAGCCCTGCCTTAAGTATCCAAGCTTCAGAAAGGAGCAGAGTTCATACACCCCTGTGCTCAGCATTTCCTATTAGCCAGCTCTAGGCAGCTCCTTTTTTAAACATACAAATTTAAGGGAATTACCCTTGAGGGGTACCTAATTTTCCCTCTTACCTAAATAAGAAACTTAAGTGCTTAAATCAGTTCCACTGGATCATCCTGCTGGCACCAGGTGCCTAATCTACAGATATTGTTATGTTTAAAGTTGAACCCATTTTATGGCTTTTGTCCTAAATCTCTACCAACCAGAAAATACTTCATTCAAATTCTCTGAACAGCAAGAAAACAAAATCCTATTTCACTGTCAGTTAACATAACACTTTTTAAAAACAATGTGGTAAGTTCATAAGGAAACTGCTTGCCCTCATGAAATCAGACAGTTTTTCTTGTGGCAGCTACATGTCAAAAATCATTACATGGCTTACACTTCTAAAATACCTTCCTAGAGAAATGTCCCAAAACAAATATTCATGCAGCAATATACAGTCATATATGGGGCTAAGTGAGACAGCCATTTGACAAGACAAAATACTACTACACAACAATTAAAAGAATAATTCAAGAAACAAGCTTCAAAGAAAAATTTTAGGAGTAGTAATTTCAGATCACAGAGTCATGCCCATATTCTGATTAGACTCCATAAGCTTATAGCATTCTGGTATTTGGTAGTGGGATTGTGACAACTATGACAACTATCTGATAAGTCAGCAACACAGGATGCTCAGCAGGATATTTTGATACATGGCCTTTCTAAACAGGCTAGACAGAAG